GGCCCCGCAGGATCCAGGTAGATCCGTCCGGCTTTTACCTTTCTCCTTCGGCTTCCCTGCGCCTAGGGCTGGTAGCGGGGCTGTTTCCCGGTCTCGCAGAAAGAGGCAGTGCTGAGTTAGGAAGACAAAAATAGACCTTTACAGAGAAATATAGGGATTGTGTGTGCGCTGGGGAGGGAGAGCGGAGAGCGGCACCCGGCTGGTTTCCAGGAGGAGCCCTTTTCTCCCTCTCGTTGCATGTTAGGCATTTTTGCACAGCTTTCTCCCCCCACCCCCTCCCCGCCGGGGCAGGGTTACCTCTGCCGCCTGCTCTCCGCATCTCTGGTGGGGAGCGAAGCAGCCAACTCCGCTGCGATCGGAAAGCAGCCAGAGACCATTTTATGTGAGCGAGCCGGGTGGGAAGAAGCGGAGAGAAACCGTCGCAGGGACACACACGGATATAAAGACTTGTCTTCTGCCTCCCCCCCACTCCCTCCCCCTTGTAAATACTAAATCTGAGAAGGCAGCGATTTGACATCCACCCTGAGCAGCGGCTATGGGGTGTTTGGGCAACAGCAAAACGGAGGATCAGCGTATCGATGAGAAAGCGCAGCGAGAAGCCAACAAAAAAATAGAGAAGCAGTTGCAGAAAGAGAGGCTGGCTTATAAAGCGACACACCGCTTGCTGCTGCTGGGTAAGGAGGAAGCGGCAGAGGTGGGGGCCGGGGCGAGCAGGGCGAGGAGGGGGCAGCAGCCCCAGCCCGCCGGGGCGGCGGGCGCAGCCGAGAGGGGAGATGCGGCGTGCGCCTTGGCTATGGAAAATGTAGGCTGCTGTATTGAGCAATAAGCGAGGCGTCCCCAGATCGAGCTGAGCGCCTGAGCCACATGGATGCACACATACAGAAATGTTGCCGAGGTGGGGGATGCTGTGGCGTCCGAAAACAAAAACCAAAAAAATAAACCAAAAAAAAACAAACCGCTCCGACCCCCCACCCAACCTGAACCGTGTATCACAATGTTCTCCCTTTCCTTCTTTCTCTTTTAGGGGCTGGTGAGTCAGGAAAAAGCACTATTGTGAAACAAATGCGAATCCTACATGTCAATGGATTTAATTCAGAGTAAGAATTATTGACACTTTGTGACTTATTTTTCCTTAAATGTTGGAAGCAGGCTAACACACAGTACGCCAGGAAATATATTCTCTCATTCCCTGTGTTTTGGTGGCTTGACACTGTGTTTTGAGGGAGGGAGGGGAGTGAGAATAAGGAAATTGCTGCTATTGTATGTTTGCATTTTCTCCTTCTGGCCCCTTTACTGTATTTTACACTGTTGCTACTGCAGCGCTTGACAGGCCCCTGTGTAGCAACAACATGGCGACTACTTTTTACATAGAAGCAAATAACCAAATATTGCATCTGTCTGTAATGTAAAAATACAGGTCAAATCATAATCAGGATAACACTGTGTGCTGTTTTTCCGGTTAGCGTAAAACTGAAACCAATTTTGCCTGTTTGTTATAAATCATCCTGTTTTGTGAGGCTACATCATTTTCTCAGTAAAGAACTCTTTGCCAGAAATCACTATTAATCCATAGCATTCATTTTAGATATTTGTTGGCCTTCACCTACATTTGGTTGATTTAGAGCATGTTTACAGCATGCTGTAGAAATGAAAGAAGGACTTTAAGTTCCATCAGGGGAGGCTTTGCAGATGTGGCTGTGATTGTCTGATTTAAAAAAATACATTAGGGATGAATGTGCATTGCTCTTAATACTATGCAAGAAAATGGATAAGGGGAAAAGGTATTTCTCTTGCCTTTTCATTTTTTCTATTAATATGTTTTAATGTTTGAAGAGCAGATAAACAAGCGATCAGTGAGAAAAAATTAAATGCAAGTGACTGAACTGCTTTGGAAGAAAAAAAAATCAAAGTGCTAATATTTCTGTTTTAATGCAGAGAAAAGAAACAGAAAATACTGGATATTCGGAAAAACGTTAAAGATGCGATTGTGGTAAGAACACACTTATACTGTTCTTAAATGCTTGTTTGTACTGGAAATTATAAGGATTATGCTCTCCAAGATTGTGATGAGAGAAATCCCATTTTGCTGATCAGATTGGATTATCTTCTATTGATCCTGTATCCTAGATTTATCCAGATTAATGTGTTTGTTTGTTTTGTTTTGTTTTTGTTTTATCCAATTCTAGACTATAGTTTCAGCTATGAGCACTTTAATACCCCCAGTTCCATTGGCCAACCCAGAAAACCAGTTTCGAATGGACTACATCAAGAGTATAGCTCCTCTTTCTGACTTTGACTATACACAGGTAAGAATAGAAACCACTGATTTATTCTGCTTCAAGGGGAAACATGTTGCTTCACTTTGATTTACTGAAACACTGGGGTTTTTTACTTTTTGGAAGATGGTCATGGAAAGTTCCTATGCCAGCATCACCTCTGTTAACTTTCTTACAAGACTGTGGTGGTTGCACCTGTTTTAGTGGTGCAAGGTTTTGTTGTTACAGATTTATTTGCTGCTGTTTCTAAATGCTGTTTCTGCATTTAATTCTCTTCAAAGTTTCTGATGCAATCTTACGTATTGACACATCAAACAAGACTTTGTCGAAAGCCGATTTCCTATGTGGAATTAGATGAAGGATGTTAGTCTGAGGAGTTACTGTCTACCTATAGAAAAGGAAATAAAAGGCTATAGTGGCCTCAGTTGAGGCCAAATGAATTGTTTCCCATACTTACTGCACTTCGGAGTAGAAACCTGCATAAGCAGTGGTCAAGTAAGGTGCTTTGCTTCCTCATGTATTGGAGTTGGCATGAGCAGTGGTTTGCTTGTATGTAAATGTTGCCTTAATTTGATATTGAATCAATGTGGGACTTCTGCGTGGAGGCTGATCTTTTGCATACAAATGAGAGATACTTTTCAGATTAACTTGCATAGGCATCTTACAGTATTTTTATCTTTTTATGTTATTATTTATAGGCACATGCATAGAATGTTTCATATTTTATGCATGACATGAAAGCAAGTGCATAGACATCCTGAATTTTATTTTTGCAGTAGCACAGTTTTAATTTGCCTTAAAATGGTACTGAAAGCAATTTGTTATGGATACAGTAAGGACTTAAAAATATCTTCATTTGTTGGCTAAATGATTGCGAATTGTGCATGCTATCAATACTGCCAAAGAAGCCTTTTACAATAGAGTGTCTTTAGGTTATTATAGCTTCAGGGTGCAAGGGGGAGAAGGGGAAGAGTCGTTTCTTTATTATATGACTCATATTCTCTGATGTGTGGTTTTGCCTCTGGTAAACCTACCACTTTGAAGGTTCAAGATAAAGAAAAATTATCAGACATCTTGTACAGCTAGAATTTAACACAGAATGCAGATGTTAAAAAAAAAACGACTGCAAGGTACACCCACATATTGCATAATTGCTCAATTGGTGGATGTAAGTTAGTGAAAATGAGAAACTCTTTTTAGAAATCGAATGTGAGCTTGACATGATGTATTTGTCTTATGAAGGCATTACAATTCTGAGGCATTTGTTGCTCATTTTATGTGGATTTTTTTTTTTTCTTGAATTTTGACTCTTGGATGTTTGAGTAAGAAAACTGGTGATACATATACTTCGTGGTTCTCTGTAGCACATATGTTCTTTTGAGTTTTTTGGATAAAAGAAGGCTAAACTGGACTTCTCATAGGTTTAGAGATTTTTTTTTTTTATTGCTTTCAAATTTTCTCCTTTTTTACAGAAGCTGACTATATCTAGTCAAATTTGACTCATAGTTTGGTATTTTATATAGAGAAAAATTTAACCTTCTTGGAGGGGAAAAGAATAGGACCCAGTGGACTTTGAAACAATTAATAATTTATTTGAAATCTCAATTCAAAGTCAATTTTGATTTAAAATAAAAATATTAATAAGTGGTTTTTAATTAAATGGGTTTTCTGAAAATACCATAATACCATCACGTTATTTAAAGAGTGTCAATTACTAGTCCTAATTTTAAAACAATATGTTTAAAAGGTTGTTACAAGTTTAAAAGAAGAAGATAAATCTAATGCTTATTTACAAGTAAATATATTTCTGTGTCACTGTCATGTTTTCCCTTCTGTTTCCTTCTCAGCTCAATTCATAGGTGTAATACTTGTAAAATGTAGAGTATGCCAGGATTTTTTGCGGCTTTTAAATTTTTCTTGGTTTAGGATGTTATTTATCTCCAGGAGGATTTGTGAGCAAGGCATATTGAAAAAAAAATGCTATTGTGCTTCAGGGCTTGATTTTACTCCAGTTTAGGCCAATGATAAAGTAAAATTAGGTTTCCAGCTGAAATAAATTTTGACCCATTTAGTATTTTTGGATAAGGACAGATATAAAAATAAATACTTGGATAGTAATCAGTCAGGCATCCTCTGCTAAGCGTTACTGATTCTGTAATTAACAGCTGATGTATGGAGTGAGGCCTTCTGAGCCCAAACCAAGTAATTAGAAGTAGACATTCAAGACTTTAGGTCAAATCATCCTTACTTCAAAATAGTTGTAAAGGAAAAAATGCTGTCATAGGCAGCTCTGGGGCACATTTTGGCACATTCTATCGAGTGACAAAGGTTACCCTCCTTTGAATGAGGGAAGAGGCAGCTTTAGGGTTTGTAACCATATGAATGGTAATGAATTGTTAAAGACCCTTAGTGTTGCAATTTGAATTACAGATGTGTCACTTTTTTTGGATGACATTAGCCGTGCAATCTTTGTCATAAAAATCAATGTGTCTTAGCTGAAAATGGATTTCAGATATATTGCATGCCAAATGTGGGAAAATGACTGCACCTTATCATGAGTCTTTAAAGAGAGATCCCTGATGAAATGCAGAAGCTTCACTGATGGCACAATCTGACCAACACTCTTGGGGCGCTAATTTAAGTACATTTGTGATATATTGGGTGTGCTTGGACACACATTCTTAAACTGCATACAAATTAACTAATAGACATTTAATTGTGAAAATTATCCTTAAAATAAGTGGATATGAAAATACAGATTTCCTGTGGGTGAAATCATACTCTTAATTGCAATTTATGACTAAAATTCCAAGAACTTAAGTAAAGATGGGGACTTCATATTTAGACTAAAATGTTCTGGGTCTTTGTTTGTCTGGGTTTTTTTTTTAATTACATACCTCTCAATAAAATGTAAGCAGAATATTTTATTTAGCAGTGATACAATTTTTAAAACAGATGGTTTTCTCTTTACAGTGTTTTAACATTACTTTAAGAGTCCTTGGAGTGGCCCCAAAAGGATTTTACTTACTCTAAAAAATCATTATTTATATGGTTTGGTTATGCTACTCTGATGATTCTTTTAGTTGGTATAAAAAAAAATTGAAAATTTTCTGGATTTCTCTTATAATTTTTGCATAGTCTTTCATTACTTTTATAAAAGAGTGTACAATTTTTACGAAGTATTTCCTGGCTGATTGTTGTGTTCTAATGCTATAAATCATAAGAAGTAGAGCTAGAGTTTTTACAAGATTGATAAATAGAAATAAGTAAAGTGGCCACTGTATTTTCTTCTTTGAAGTTGTGACAGGAATCAAGATAAATTTTTTTTGTCTGACCAGATTAGGCATTATCTTTGGTCAAAGGTGGAATCAGCAGAAGTGCTTTAACACTGGAATTGTAGCGTACGTGCCTTATGAAAAGGGATTTTTTATTATTTTTGGCAAAGTGTTGATGGATATTTGCTAAGGTTAACAGGAATTGACCTGCTGAAATTTTAATCCTTTATTGATGGGGATTTTTTTTGTTGTTTGTGAATCAAGGTGAACATATTAAGGCCATATTATGCTGGTAGCTGTGGTGTATTATCTAAGCATGTGTTCACTCAAGTTCAGTTGTCTTTATTAAAGTTTTTGAATTTCCTGAGAACTACAAAGCTCCTCAGTGTATAATTCCTTTTCCCCTTGTCTTCCCCAACAGTGTAGGCAGATGAAATAGCTTTGCATAAATATGTCCTGAATGAAGCTCATCTGATCAGTTTTGTGTGGGTTTGTAGCCGGTAATGGTCACCTACCCCTGGCTGGGTCTCAAGTGTTTGGCCATACAAACCAGTTACCAGTGAATGTGAATTATCTGCTTAGTAGAGACCATGTAAACACTTCACAGGTTTTAGGGAGCAGGGAGAGTTTTCAAAAGATTCATCTTCCTTTGCAAAGAATGTTTTAGGGAGGCAAAGTATTTTTTTGAAACTTCGTAAGTAGTGAATTGTGTGGATGCAGTCCCTTGTGCTGATTTTAGTATCTGAGCTTTAAATATAATTTTTACAGCTATTTTATTACTCAGGCAAGCTCTTTAATTTAGCTGTTAAGGATGAAATGTTAATGTGGGCATTGACAGGGAAAGTACTTCAGATTAATTAGGTCTGGCTTTGCTTTACATTTTCAGATATTGCAGTTTGAGTTCTGTCTGATTAATTTTCCTTCAGGTTTTCTTCTTAAAAATCAGAACACCATATTCAAAATATAAAGACATGATAATGAAAGATTTGAGAAACTTCTGCTCTGAATTTGAAGTTTCATAGAGTTTTGTTTAACATTTCAAATTTTTATGATACCCAGTATTCAAATTCAATCTTGTGTTGATGCCTGGAGGTGGCTGCTTTTCACAGTGTGCATCTCAGTGTTTGAAGCAACTGAAAATCTTGCTTAGGTGAAGTGTAGTGTTGGGCTGTAGAAAATTTTTATCCTGGATTTACAAAAAACTTGATAAGTATGGTTCATATATGGATAAACTTGCTTGGATTGTACAGTTAGTGCTGTGACTTATTTGACCACGAATTGTTTTGGTTTCCCTTTGATGTAGCCCAAAGGAGTTACAAAATAACATCACCTTAAATTTTCTGATTTTCTGATTTTCAATTGTCACAGTTTTACATCTTTTATGTGAGTGTGAAAATAGACGATGTTTTATCCAGAAATAATATCAAATAAAAGAGAGAATGCAGAGAATATTGCCACTCAAATAGGTTCACTTGATTTTTCTTTCTATCTAAATTTTTACTTTAGGGCTTTGTTTACCATTTTGGGTAGAACGAACACAAGTTTTTATAACTACCTGTGATTGCACTGTATAACATTATTATGGTCAATATTAACTTTTTAAAATCAATTAGACTTTAAAAAATTAAGTAATTTGTGGTGTTCTGTGATCTAAGATGCACATTGGTAGATTTTCATATTTACATAAACACATATTTTCGTATTTAAACAAACTCAGAAAATATCTGAACGGCCAGACAACAATAAAGTTGTGTT